GCCCGCGTCCTCGCCCCCGCCGCCGCCGCCGGCCCCATCCGCGTCGCTGCCGCCGTCGCCCGGCACGGGGGCCGCGCCGGCGCCGGGCGGAAGCTTCCCGGGGCGGGCGGCCGCCAGCGCGAGCGTCTCCTTGAACGCGGCCTTTATTGCCTCGCTGCCAAAGGTCTGCTGCATGCGGCAGGAGAAGGTCGTCTTGTCGCGGACGCTAAGGCTCGCCGCGGCGGCCTTCTCGGCAGCGCGCGCCGCGCCCTCCTCCTCCCTGCGACCAAAGTTGGAGTGGCGAACGCGCGCGTGGGCGTGACAAACTGGCAGGTCCCGGCGGTGGCGCGGCGGCGCCAGGTGCGTTGAGATGCTGCCGGTTGTTGGTTGAGAAGGACATGAAAAAGGTGCCGAGATTTTTCATGCTTGATCAGCACGAAGCGACACGTGGTCGCGAGGCGCCCCCCGCGACCGCGACGGCATGTTGCCCGCAGGCTGGGCTGCTGAATCCCGAAGCTTATGAGGGGATGGCCCGACGTCTGCTGGTGAGGAAGGCCGGAAGGTGAATGGACAGCAGAGATCTGGATGCGGATCCGACCCCACCGACCTGAGCCGGAAGATGTCGGCATCGGCGGGCTGGATGAAGGGGTTGGACGCCGCGGCTTGGGCGCCGCCGCTGCGCTCGAGAGGGCGCCCGGGGGTTTGGTGGTAAGCGGGGAGGATGCTTGTCGTCTTATGGGGTCAAAACGGTTGCGGGCAATGTTGCCTCGAGGCCGACTGCTGACGGCATTGGCATGCATGACTGCATGACATCACTTGGTGAGGGGCGGCGGTATTCCTAGATGGCTCCTTGTGAGAAGCGGGGCAGGGCGGCCGGGGGCTGCCAGCGGGGGACTCACGATGGGGTGTCGCTGACGGCCGCGCCGCGATCCGCAGGCGGCGCCCTGCCGCTCGCCGCTTGCGGCGCGTTGGCCTGCAGGCGCGTGCAGCAGCGCAAGCAGCGACACACACGAATTGCATCGACAGGCAGCTTTTACAGGGGCCTTACGTGCCGCAATCAAGCGTACGACGCGTCCACCTGGATGCATATACATAACAATGCCCGATATACCGAAAGGATTGGGCTCGCGTTGCTCTGCTCCCGAGATCGCTCCTGCCAGGCTTACCGTGCTTTGGCTCCTTGAAGAAGGCCATTCTTGCGTTGCTCCAAGTATTGGACCTGTCGCAACGAAGCGTGCGCGCCCTCATCAGCTTCAACAAGCTTGCAACTTGCTGACCTGCCTGCAGACGAGCGTTGATGCACACCCATTTTGTTCAACAGTGGATTTGCAGTACTAAAAGATGCATCCACGTGGGCAGAGGCTCCTGCCGCCGAGCCGGGTCTCGCGATGTGCTGCTCGTGGCGAAATCAACACATCGTATTTCTTGAAGATGTATTCATTAGCAAACATGATATCCTGAATCAGCGAAACTTGAGTCTGCTCAATGGAACACGGCTATTTTGTGTGGTACCCACCACTCATGTTTGACCGTGTTGACTGCATCCCATCCCTGTCATGGCATTCACTGCGTTGACGTGAGGCGTGGGCGGTAGGGATTTGTAGATTGATACGCAACGCTGCGGCAGTCTCATGTCAAGGCCAGACAGCAGTGTCCTTCTTCGGACAAGCGAATGGGCTGGGTCTGCATCATTGGATGGTGCGTACCCAGCCCAGCTCCCGGCAGAAGCGGGCATCCGGCCGTGCCCCAAGCCTCAACAGCAATGCAGTAGATGCTGTCACAGCTGCACCTCCGACCCTGAAAATTACTATTTAGGGGCAGCCGACAAGGGGCGGCCGCATATCTGTCCGCTCCACTGCCACAAGTAAGGGTGTCCGTCATTGAACATCCATGCCGTGCTCATGGTGAACAGAAGGAAAATCGATTAATTTTACTGTGCTTCGGGCCAAAAAGCACTGCAACACTACAAATTTGACCCTATTTTGTAGCCTCGATGCTGCACGCTTGTGCAGCCCCACAGCAAGACGACATACGCCTTCGATGCTCGTCACCACGTCCATGTGCGCCATGGCGTTCCGAACGGCAGCCTGATGGAATGGGACATCTACAGCTACCCCTTGCGCTGTGCGAGGAAAGCCTGCAGCTTCTTGACCTCGGAGGCGCTGCCCACAAACAGGGGGCTCTTCTCGTGGACCTGTGGTGTGTGGAAGGATGGCGGGAATGCGGTTATCAAAGTGCACACAGTACGGTATAATGGGCGTAAGTTCAGTTTTGTGTGACAACCACGCCAGTCATCAGGATCATAGCAAAGATTCCAGAAGAGATTTGCAGTTTGCGGATTGGCTTGAGGTAGTGTTGGGGGATGGGGGATGGGGTTGGCGGAACGGGGGGGCGGGATTTGCCAAGTGTCGGTCGGTTCGAGGCAGATTGTTGGGGTGAGCTCGGCTTGCAGGGACCAGCCCCAGGCCCTCTACTTGCTGATATGAGCAAGCCGCCCCCATGGACGCAGGGGAAGCAGCACAGGCAGCGGCGCAGGCAGCAGCACAGGCAGCGGCACAGGCAGCGGCACAGGCAGCGGCGCAGGCAGCGGCAGAGGCAGCGGCACGCCCGCGTGAGCCGGCGCTCCCGGAGGCGCGGGGCCGCGGAGCACGCGCAACGCGCTCTTCTCTCTCGCGCACCTTTTTCGGCACAATGTCGAGAACTCGTTGGTCAGCCTTGGGCCCTACGCAGGCCAGGCCCCCCGCCTGCTCAGCAATGAGGCTCATGGGGGCGACCTGGGTGCAGGGGCAAGCGCGGCGCAGTTTTGTTGGGGTGGTTATGGATGGTTTCAGACAGTTTTCATCGCGACGGAATACTCAAATCGTCGCACAGTACTGCAGCGGACGATACCTGACAGTTTATGTACGCAAAACTCATACAACTACATTACATCAGCACGCACATGGATGCATTGCACGAGCCCGGCGTCACCTCATACAGCAGCCGAGCCTTGCCAGACGGCGCCTTGGAGTCCGGGGGGTACAGCCTGGGGGGGGGGGGGAGGTTGGGTGGAGGTGGTCGGCGTCGCGTCAGCAGGGCCAGCCTTTCTCGGGGCCAAAGTTGGGCGTCAAGACCGGTTTGAAGACCCGCAGCGCTCGTCGCTCGGAAAGCGGGTAGCTGAGCAGCGGGCGCGGCCGCGCGGAGCGGCGGCGCGGGGCGCGGCCACGCACGCGGACGGGCGCTGCAGGGCGGGGCGGGATTCAGGGTTTAGCGTGGGGCGCCGGGCGGCGCACCAGATGCCGCCATAGCAGAGGGTGCGGTGGAAGTCGCCCACCAGGGCCCCCACGTAGCGGTACGAGTACGGCTTGGCGGTACGCTTGAGCTCCGCCAGGTAGGCCTGCCCGATGGGGAGGGCATGGGGAGGGGATGGGCAGGGGATGCGGAGGGGGTGTGGAGGGGATGTGGAGGCGATGGGGTGACGCGACAGCCAGGATTAGGTGGTGAGCGGGGGCTTGGGGCGGCGTATCATAATGGTGGGACGCGAAGTACCAAGGTGTCGCAGGTGACGCGAGATGGGCGCTGTTTCATGGGGGTTGCGGGCGTCCGCCTGCCTTACGCATCACTATCGATCTGATCCTATGCAAAAGCCCACCTGCAGGTCAGGGTCCCAGAGGGAGGTGTTGCCCTCGTTGCCACTATGAGGGGGGGGGGG